AAATAACCCATTGAGGTTGATATGCCGTAAAACAAAACAAACCAAATCAAACCATACAAATCGAAAGTTAAGAAATCCAAAACTAGCTTACTCCACCGCTGTGTTATTGGGGGGGGGGTCTTGATCCGCCTAGAAATTTGTAGCTTCGAATAGAATATTCTAGCTAAATTTCCTTTACATTTGATCAAAGATTCTAACAAGTTTAGGTATGTATCCTGTTACTTTTGAATTACTTCTTTCTATTCTAATCTTTTCGAGTCTTTCTAATGTCTACTTGCAGAATATTAGTTTGTCTGAAAAAAAGAAAGAATTGAATTGGTACTTCTCAGTGGATGCGAGTATGGTCATATTGGCAAATAGCAGATGCTTTCAATGCACATCATTCCAGAAGGACCGCCATAGATTTTCCCACAGTGGGGAAAGTTGGTTAAGAAATTCAAAGAAACAGTCTTGGACAAACCTGGGCGAAATACCTTACCATACTGAGAGACGAGATAATACCTCAAAGTGAAAGACTAGGTGAAGACGGCCTCCCTGAATTGTCCTAACATGATGGAGACCATATTCATGGCGGTAAATGGCGGGATTAAAATTTCCCTAACTGGATTGGGAGATGTGGCCGTGTGGAATAAGCTCCTTGCTCTTGAGATATTAGTCCCCTTGACTTCATTTTCTGGGACATGCAAAATAAAAGTCACAGATAGGAATAATCTGAAGGGAGGCATCATGAATGAATGTGCACAAATTGATGTAAGTGTAGAGTTCAAGTGAATCTCGCATCGAACTTTGCATTACTAACGGTGGAAGCCATGTTGAAAATGTAATTCATAAATGGTGTTGAATAAATTCATTGAAAATATGCATTTCGCCCATGTATCTAGACGTTACGGTCACCCTATATATATAATTTTTTTATTTTAAAAACATAAAATGCTTAAATGTATTTATTATTGTAAATTTATATATTCATTATTGTAAATTCATCTCATACACACATGCATTAGATATTGATTGAGAGAAGACATAAGAAGAAAGCGAGAAAGACAAATAATTCATATTCGAAAACAATTTAATAACTAAATAAACGTGCTTGAAAAAATGAGTAAAATATTAACGTGTGTGCCGTAGAAAGTACCTAAAGATGCATATGTACAATCAAACGTGTTTGGGCATATACTATTGTCATATACATAATCTCATATATATATATATATATATATATACTCGTCTCGAAAAACATTCTAATTTTTGATTTGCCAATAATCAAATCAATCTCGAAGGAAAAAAGATTTTAAAAAAAGAAAGAGCCAGGAACATGAAAGGCTGTTGAAAAAATCGCACAGATACAAAGAAAAAAACACGACACGAATAAACAACTAACTAAAAAGTGCTCAATACAACCGCTTTCCCTGACGATCCGCTTAGGTGAAACCTGGGTAGGTTTGTCTGGCTCACTAGGTTTGACTTTCTCTCTCTCTCTCTCTCTATATATATATATATATATATATATATATATACATACTATACCCGTGTTTGGGTATTCATACAATGAATCATTTAGTAGTATTAGTGCAATTATTGAAAAAATTCTCTTTGCTAACAGACTTAATATAAGCATTAATTTACCAACAATCCATTGAATGACGCGATCCTTGTATATAAAATTGTTGTCAGATAGAACTGGTGTAGTTTTTGTATTTTTCCTATCGTCAGGCTGTAATGTTTGTTTAGAAAATAAAATCCAAGACGAAAAGTATTTACTGCTCTAAAAAATATACCTGATCCATCTGACAACAATTTTATACATAGGGATCACATCATTCAATGGATTGTAGCAAAAAAAATAATCGAAAAGGAAAAATTTTGAATGCTAATATAAAGTCTGTCAGCAAAGAGAATTCGCCATTAATTACATTAATATTATTGATTGATTTATTGTATGTTACCACTTTATAAGATAAAATATATGCTGCCCAATACAATACGTTTATATATATATATATATATATGGGGGGGGAAATAGAAATGGCTTACTTCCCAAAACGCCCTCGCGTCTGTCTGGCCTGTGGGTTGAAAAAGGAAAAAAAAAAAAGATCCAAGATGGCGTCCGTGACTTTTAATATTCACGGTCTCGTGCAGTCACGCAAAGTCGCGTTACACACATGCTAATGAGGTGTGTCTGGGCTCCATAAAAACAGGTCGCTTGGAGAAATTGGCAGAACGGCATTACACCCGTGTTTGTGTACATTGCTTTGCGTTGCAGCGTGTCAGACATTTTCAGACGGAAAGAGTTGCGTCCCTTACACTGTTGAGGTCGACTCATTGCATATATATATATATATATATATATATATATATATATATATAAATGAAATATAGTCTTAAGGCGAGCTATATTTATGGGACAAAGTGCTCAATATCAGAGATAGAGCGTGTGTAAATATAAAAGTGAACATTGAAGTCAACAATTAGAGGCGACAGTCTGTTTCATGCTAGACGCAGTTGACAGTCTGTTTCATGCCAGACGCAAAGCCCTGGCGATTATGCCTAGCATGAAAAGACTATCCATCTAAGTGTTGAAAACCAATGTTTCAGCAATGCGTTTTGAAAACCAAATATATATATTAATGCTTTTGTGTAACATTTTTGAAAACCAAATGTTTCGTTTTTCAAACTAACCCCAAAAGTGTATTGAAAAACAAATGCTGACAACTATGAAATATAGGTTATCAACCAATTCGTCGAACTAAATAATATTTAATGAAGTAAAGGCCGATTAGAATGTAGCATTGTTATCGGAGAGACATAAGCTTAGTTTAAATTACAAGGAAAGGGAATAGCAAAAAAAATAATCGAAAAGGAAATGTAATTTTGTTTACGCCGCGGCTCAATTTGATGATAAAAAGAAGAATTGGCTCAAAGTTTGTCAGACCTCTAGAAAAGACATTTTCCCTGAGAAAATTGCTTTGCACAGCATTTTGAATAAAAATAATAAAGTAAGTTTCAGTTTTAATAATTTTGGCAGGTTGGTTAAATATTCATTATAATAATAACATTCTGTATCGAGAATCTAAAATGAAGAGTAATATGTGCAACTGCAGATAACTCAATGAGAAATGTTTGACATACAATGTCATTTATAAGGCAGCTATTATATTTGAAGGCATCTAGGACAGAATTTACATTGGTTGTATCGAAACAATTTAAACAAAGGCATTATAACCACAAAATGTTGATACCAGCATATCTATACAAAAACAGCCCTTTCAAAATATATATGAGACAAAAGTGAAAAAATAATTTTTTTTAAAATCGAAAAATAGGGGTATCTCCAAAATTAATTGAATATTTTGAAAAAAAAATGCATTTTTGAAAAACCGTCAATGCATTTTTGAAAAACCAAATATTAAACTTCATCCAACAGCAAGGCGTTGGATGAAGTTTTTGAAAACCAAATATTATATCAGGAGGTTTTGAAAACCAAATGTTGGAACCATTTTTTCTATTCCCAGGTCCACCCCACAATGGTTTTTGTGGTAGCACATTTTTGCTAGGGTCTTTTGCTATGGGCAAAAGTGAATTGTCATTTTGCCCAACATCTTGGGTTTTATGACGATCAAACATTTTTTGCATCCGCAATGCATTTTCCATGGGTATGACCATCAATGCATCCGCGTACTGGGTACGCATTTTTGAAAACCTACATCCACATAACTGATTTTTGTATGGCGAGCAATGCATTTTTGAAAACCGTCCAACAGAAAGGCCATTTTCGAAAAAATAAGGTTGTCGGCTATACGTTTTTGGGTAAATAGTATTACCAGCTATACGTTTTTGAAAAAATAATCTCACCAGCTAACCGCTTTTGGAAAAATAATATTACCAGCTATAAGGTTGTCATCTATACGTTTTTAAAATACATTTTACCAACCATACGTTTTTAACAAAACCTTATTTTTCCAAATGGAATTGAAAACCAAACTGGGTTTTTCAAAACACCGTGAAAGTGTAAAATGGGTTTTAATACCAAAGAAACTCTTTACCAAAAAAATTTTTACCATCAATACATTTTTGAAAACCAAATGTTGCCAGCAATGTATTTTTGAAAACCAAATGTTGCCAGCAATGCATTTTTGAAAACCAAATGTTGCCAGCAATGTATTTTTGAAAACCAAATGTTGCCAGCAATGCATTTTTGAAAACCAAATGTTGCCAGCAATGCATTTTTGAAAACCAAATGTTGCCAGCAATGCGTTTTTGAAAGGAAAAACCTAAACAAACCTTAAAACACAAAGTAATCCAATGAACCAAACAGGGGAAAAATGATCACAAATAAACATAAGATACTTCAATCAATGGAACTGTAGAGGAATAAATAAAAATTTATGACCAGAAATAAATTTTTGAAGGAAAAAATATTACCAGCATTACGTTTTTGAAAAGATATGCCAGATATACGTTTTTGAAAAATACTATAACCAGCTATACGTTTTTGGAAAAATACTATTGCCAGCTATATATTTCTGAGGAAACAGATAATGATAGAAATGGATTTCTAACAAAAACAAAAATATTATCGGAAAAAAATGTCGTCAGCATTAAATGACCCATTGAGGTTGATATGCCGTAAAACAAAAACAAAAACAAAACAATCAAAAAACTATAATGTGGCATCGGATAATTGTTATTTATGCGAAGAGGAAAATTAGCAGTAATATTTTTTTTACTGAAGAGAATGGGTTATTAAACAGAAAAGTGAAAGAATGAGGAGTGCAAACATTCCTGATAATACCAATTGTCATGCATCGAATTTGCTTGAAAGAAAAACGCTTTATTACAATAAAACTATATACGCAAATCTATGGCATTCCAGAATGTTTTTAATATATTTCGCAATATTTAACAATTATTTTAAGACAGTCAGAAGAACCGGTTACTAGTAAACCTTAGTAGCTGTTCCGTGTCTTTGAATCATTTTTAATTTCTGTGTAGCAAGAGGCTTATGGCCATATCACATTGAAACATTGGTTTCCGTACGATCACCGACGTTAAACAACATCAAGCCTGGTCAGTACCTAGCTGGGTGACCGCTTGGGAATACCAGGGGCTGTAAGCTTGGATTTGTGGGTGTTGTCATTGATAATGGCACGGAACTGTTAATCGGAGAGTCCACTTCCAATTCCCGTTGGCTTCATTGTATTTATTTACATGCAACTACCCATAGGAAAAATTTGAATCCATCTCTTCCCACCAGCTATGCGTTAATTAGTAATAGTTGTATCGCTAAGTCATTATTATCTAAAAAGTATAACTATTTTCTGGCTTTAAATAACCTGCAAAAAAAATACAAATCAATCAATCTAAATAGGCAGTAAGAATTAATTAAACATATTTTATTAAATCCATTCGACAGGGTCTGTCTGTTTTCTTTCTATTTTTTAAATTTCTGAATAAACTGCTGTACGTCTTAATCAAAACAGTGAGTAACCTGTTCAGAGATCGTGTAAATGATTTAATGTATAGAACGGTTTCACAGAGCTTGACTGCATCGGAAAGAGAATGTATCAAATATTTTATACGTATTATTATTTTATATGCATATCAAATATTTTATGCATATTTTCATATAATACCTGATGTATTGAAATTTTATATTAGGCGCGCTGCTTCTTTTGCAGAATAATAGTGTTGTGTGTGTGTTTGGTAATATCTACTAATATTTTTTATGTTAATCGTTTGAACTGACTTATTTGTAATGTAATTATCGATATGTGCACAAAATGCACAAAGTTTCAATAAGTGACAAGTTAACCTACGCGACAGTCTTGTACATGTAAGGCCAATGTAAGAATTTCATATTTTGGGATTATTAAGAAAAGCTGAACTTTGGACAATTTGTCCGCAGTTTTGATACGCATAAATATTTTGTTGAAATACAGCAAAACATTTTAAAGAGAGCTTTTCGGTTGAATAAAAAAAAAAGTGTGTTTGTATAGTGAGTGAGTGACTAGGGAGAGAGAAGTTTGAGGAGGTAGAAAAAGTGAGAAGGAATAAGGGGATGTATATAGAGAGAGGTGGATGGAGATAAAAAGAGTTGATAGAGATAGTTTTAATGATACAAGGAAGGATATATATATATATATATATATATATATATATATATATATATATATATATATATATAGATAGATAGATAGATAGATAGATAGATAGATAGATAGATAGATAGATAGATAGAGATAGATAGATAGAGAGAGAGAGAGAGAGAGGGGGATACAGATAGATGTATAGAGAATGAAGAGATAGCGAGATAGATAGAAAGTGGAGATAGATAAAGAGGGACGGGGAGATAGATAGATAGATAGATAGATAGATAGATAGATAGATAGATAGATAGATAGATAGATAGAGATAGATAGATAGATAGATAGATGAGAGAGAGATTTGTATTTAATTTTCGATAAGATCATTTTTCTGATTCCTCAGGAAAATTTGAATATAAATTTTCCATTTTGTTAGCATTTGCGGCTTTCATATGTTTTTAACAGAGTTTTACTTTGGTGTTGAGAGGGTCGTCTCTATGTGTGTTTCATAGTTTTTCGAGGGATGCGTTTTCAAGCGTCGGTGTTGGGTCTTGTTGCACCAGAAATTGTCACGAGTCTGACATGTGGCCTTAATTTATGGACTGACTCTTTTCTGTATATTTTATTCATTATTTTCTGGTGTTTCCAAGCGCGTCTTATCAGTTTCTGTGAAGCGGGTGGAGAAAACTGCTCTAAACTTTTGTAATGCTTCAAGATTTTATTAAGAAAAACATAATGTAAATCACAAGTATACGAGTTCTAATTGCGTTTCAATCAGCTAGAGATAAATTAAGATTAATACAGATGAGTGATTTATCATTTTTCTTGAAAGCATACATTGCCTTCGATTTCTCTATTTTTGCTTTAAAAAATAACCTTTTATGTAACTGGTTTCCAGGCAGTTGTTAATTCCGTAGAAAATCCATCACGCTGTCTGTTGTATAACAGGCATTTGTTTCATGCACGGGATCTGCTTTCAAATGCGTCGAAGCAAATTTACTCTTGATTTCTTTCTTTCCCTCTTTTCCTGGTCACTGGAGAAAGATTCCAGTAAAAAGATTAAAAGGTGATGCTACTCTCCAACTACAAGATGGAATATTTTCTTGCGCAGGCGACCAGTGGTTACGATATTGTACTGAGAGAATCAAAGAGACATTCAGATTTTATAAAAGAAAGATAAACAGTGAATATATATATATATATATATATATATATATATATATATATATATATATATATATATATATATATATATATATATATATATATATATATATATATTAAGCCTGAATCCGACCGGCCAATCAGCGGAGGTTCAGTCGAACTGGTCAGGAAAGCAAAAAAAAAAAAAAAAATGAATGGTAAGAATCAGAGGATAAGAGAAGCGATGGAGGTTGGGGGGGGTCGAATGAAGGTCGGTTTAAGAAGCTTATTACGGACAGACATCTGGGCATTTCGATGTCATCCTAAATCTGATGTTTCGCAAAACAAAAGCCAGTGGCGTTGTTTACGAAATCGACGAAGGGCAACTTATGATGGAAGTAGAAAGAAAGAAAAGAAATTTAAAAAGGAATGTAGAGAAGAAAGGTCAGGGAAAAGAAAGACAGAAAGAAAGAAAGAAAGAAAGAAAGAAAGAAAGAAAAAAAGAGGGAAAAGAGAAATAAATAGAAAGATAAATAGAAAAAGAATAAAAGAGGAAGAAGGAAAGAAGAGAAAGGAAAAAAGAGAGAAAAGGGGAAAGAAAGAAAGAAAGAAAGAAAAGAAAGAAAGAAAGAAAGAAAGAAAGAAAGAAAGAGAAAGGAAAAAGAGAAATAAATAGAAAGATAAATAGAAAAAGAATAAGAAAGAAAGAAAGAAAGAAAGAAAGAAAGAAAGAAAGAAAGAAAGAAAGAAAGAAAGAAAGAAGAGATAGAAAAAAGAGAGAAAAAAGAAAGAGAAGAAATGAGAAAGAGAGGAAAAGAAAGAGTCAAAGAATGGAAGCCGTAGACGAATGTCATGGAAGGGTTTTCTTGCCCTTTAAGAAAAGAGGCAAGAAAAAATTGTAAATCTAAAAAGAGCAGAAAACAGAAAATTTGAAGACAAGATAGAAATTAGTAAAAAAGAAAGAAACGAAAAAGTGAAATTAAAGAAGGAGTAACAAAAAAAAAGATTTAATAAAAAAAGAGAAAGGAATTATTTAATAAAGAAAGAGAAAGCAATTATTTAATAAAGAAAGGGAAATAAACAAAGAAAGAAAAGAAAAAATAAACCAATAAAGAAATAAATTGATGTGAATCAAGAAAAACAAGAAGGAAAACTTTTGAGACTTATACTCTATTTGGTTTAGTGAATGCAGGAGATTTCGGATCGGAGCAGTTCCTCAATATTTTAATATGTGGAAAGATACTCACATCTGTTATGGATTTGCCATTTTCTCATTCCATCCTTCTTCTCACGTCAGCGCTGATGCATACCGTTTTGCGACCTTTGCACCTGCCATGTTTACTTTCTCGACCATCCCCACAGCAGCCAACTCAGACCAAAGCCATCAATACCCAACATCTGCTACCAAAGTCTTTCTTTTAGTGGAATTTCACGCCCTGCAGAGTCAGGGAAGAGATTTTCAAACAAATGAACAAGAGGCTGGTTTTTAATGTGTTGACCTCTTGATTCACTACAATCTTAACCTTTTCAAATCTACGGCCAATCGTCATCTTCCCCACATATTCCCATAAACTGTGCCCCTTACTCTGTAACCTTCTACTTCAAGTGACTCTTGAGCCTTGTACAGGGTGAACGTCACTGTAAAAATATCTAAATTTCCTTTTTCTTATTTTCTCTCTCTCTCTCTCTCTCTCTCTCTCTCTCTCTCTCTCTCTCTCTCTCCAGCATTTTTATAAACATCTTCATTCTTTCTTACCGGATTTCTTGTGCAATTTTTCTCTACAGGGTGCGATGGGTAAATTTTTGCCATTTTATATTTATAATTTCACGCATGCGCGTGGTTTGTTCTTGGCTTTGTCGACTGCACAGTATAGTAGGGTCAATTGGGCACCGTCTGTGAGCACCATGACGCAATTCGCTCCACCTGAAATTTTGAAACGGCATGCTGTACTACTTGGCATTCGCACCGGAAGCTCCAATACGAACATTTCGGAATGTATGGGTGTCAATCTGAGGACAGTACAGCGGATTCGGAAAGAGTTGGATGAGTCTAATAGTGATTACGAAGGTATGGCAGACCGGAAAATTCACTCTGGTCGTTCTGATAAGAACTGCTGAATTTGCTGGTAAGGGCCTCAGGCTCAACATGGAGGCCTACATCAAGTGTCTTGAGGATGTAGTGCTGCTCTAGGTTAAGAGGGTGGCTGCTGGAAGACCCTATGTGTGGCAACAGGACTCTGCACCATGCTACACAAGCAGAACCCAGTCATGGGCGTGAGACAATTTCTACGGCCACATTACCACTTAACTCCCCAAACTGCAACCCTCTTGATTATTATATGTGGGGCGCCTTTGAGCGAGAGACAAACAAAACTCCTTGTAACACCAAAGATGAACTGAATACAAGGATTATGGCAACATTCATCAACTTAAACAAGGAGACAGTCCAGAAGAGTTGCAGGTGATTCCAAAGTCGTCTGGGGGCCGTGGTTGAAGTCAATGGCGATTTTATTGAATAAATTTACTCTTTAGTATTTCAAGATATTTTTGTGTAATTTTGGTAAATAATATGTTAAAATTGAGAATAGTTATTTTCATTTTTGCGTAATTTAGACGAAAATTTATCTATTGCACCCTGTCTAAACTATTTCCCCCCTCTCTCTCTCTCTCTCTATCTATCTATCTATCTCTTTTCTCTCTCTCTCTCTCTATATATATATATATAAATATATATATATATATATATATATATATATATATATATATATATATATAGAGATATAGATATATATATATATATATATATATATATCTTTCTCTCTCTATATATATATATATATATATACTTATATATATATCGAATCGAGTTCTCTCAGTCACTGTGTGTTTATCTAAAAATAAATACAAATTCGCCTTCATCCCTGCCATGCGCCAATGGCTTAGTGGCAGAATTAGTCGAGTTTCGATCTTACCTAAAGGCAACCAGTCGTCTAGCCACACTGATGAGCTGTGATACAGCGAAACAGTCTGTCTGTGGATGACAATATATATATATATATATGAATATATATATATAATTTCTCTCTCTACTTTCCTTCTCTCTTTGGAATCCGCTTTTCCTCGTTGCTTTCTTTCAATCTCTGAAACAAAAATGGCGTTTATTTAACGTAAGCAAAGGTCATTCATATTTCAAGTTTGACTTCCTTCCGCTTTTCAGATTTATTTCTTAATGCGCTTATTTATTTATTTATTCATTAGCTTGTCTATTACGATTTTCAAAAAATCTGATGGGGAGTGGGGGTGGGGCTACTGTGACCAGCCTGCAGAAACGAATATACACGCAGCGGCAAAAAGAGGCTGCAACTGCCATGTTAGTAACATTGACTGGAAAAGTGTTTGTGAGAAAGGTGAACATTATCATGAAATGTGATAAGAGAAATAATACAGAAATAAAAGAGTCGGGGAGAGAGAAAACAAAAAGAGAGAATTAAATTGAAAGAAAAAGGAAGAGAGAGAAAATAGAAGACAAAGTGCAAGCAAGAATGAAGGCAATAGGAAAGAGAGAGAGAAAGAATATAACACAGATAGAGAGGTAGTGTGCGTGTGTAAAAATAAAAGAGTGGGAAAGACAATGTGAAAATAAAGAATAAGATAGAGAAAAAAAAGAGGAAGAGAAAGACAATGAAAGATAATCTAACCTCAAGGGATGGAAAGAAAACTAAAAAAAAAAAAGAGTGATAGAGAGAAAGATCAAAGGTTAAGTGAAAGTGACTCAAAAAACGTGGGAGGGGAGAAAAAAGAAAGAGATGAAATAGATTAGAGAAAAACTAAAGAGATACAGAAAAGAATTAGAAAGAAAATCGAATTTAAGTGTGCAGATGGGGAAGAGGGGGAGAGAGCACTTGAGTAAAAATCTGAATGTCAAAGGGAGAGAAAAATGAAAAAAGGAGAAAGAAAAGAAGAAGAAACAACAAGGCTTCAATATGAAAAAAAAAACTCTTAGGGATTTGCAATTGATGTTTCAGACTGGAATTGGTAGATAAATATTTTATCATTTTATCCCAATCAAGGCGATAATGCCACCAAGACGCAAGGGTTTACTGGCAGTGAACGAGAATGAGAAGATTTTACTGAGGATAAAGGGCAATAAAAGAATAGGTTTCCGGAAGACAGAAGATGGCGATTGGCGTTGCATCTAAATCTTTGAAGATTGTAGATCGTAGGGAACCAAGAAGATAGTTCCACAGGAGAGAAGTGCGAGAAAAGAAACTACAAGAATTGGACATATGGTTACATCTAGCTAGTTCAACAGTAAAACGGCGAGATCTAGTTGTCAATCTAGTTGCACGCTTAAATTCATACAGTCGAGGTACCAAGCTGAAAAGCTCATCCGAACAATCGCCATGAAAAATATTTATAGAAAAAAAAAAGGGAGTAACCACATCACATTGGCGGTGAAAATGACTGAAGACGAGATGCCAGGTCAGGATCGATTATATTACAGAACCTTTAGATTTTGCCAAAAATCTCGAGATATATAGTAGTAGATATGGTAGCAATTTAGAATGCACGGTCGAATGGTAGATTTGTAAATATACAATATGGATGTCACGATGCAATTGTTATAATATAACCACTCTATTTCATGTCAGTGGAAGACCTGAGACCAAGAAGGCGCAATTTGTTACTCTCCTAGAGGCTAATATCACTCATGCTGATGAAAGGCAAAAAATTTTCTCTATTGTAATTAAATTATAGCAATTTTGTTTTGGTGACTCTAAAAGTTACAAGCCATTCCTTGACCCTGTTAACCAATGATTGGAGGTCATTTTCAAGAGTAGCAGCCAATTGTACTTGGTCGAACCTGTCGGACTTGCAATTAAATAGTTGTGTCATCTGAATAAATCCCTAGTTGGGAATTGATGATATCAGGAAGGTCATTTATGAAGATAAGCAATAACGTCGGTCCAAGAATAGAATCATAGGGGACTCCCGCATTAATGTAAAATAATCTAGAAGCGTGTCCGTTCAACACGTCTTTCATTATCCAATTTCAGAACGATTGGATTAAGCCAAATATTCCTCCAGAGACGCCATAACCCTTGAGCTTATGAAGAAATCCAGTATGCCTTCGAGATACCTAAATGTTACAGACCTGGAGAAACGAAAGCCACACGGAAGAAGGCCGTACGAAGTTAGATTTTTAACCAAATCGGCGTTGATTAGAACCTCTAGTACTTTGCCAAAAACAATTGAAAGACTAATAGGATGATAGGTCGAGGGATCAGAATGTTCAGCAGGGTTCTTGAAGACATGAATTACAGAAGAGTGTTTCCAACAAGCTGGAAAGCAAGAAACAGCGAAGCATTTATTGAAGAATTTGGAGAAAACAGAAGCCAGCCCAGGAGCCATTTCCTTGGAACAATTTCAGGTATAACGTTGAATCCGCAAGCTTTAGATATGATAGAAAAGGATGTACGGAGTTATGTGCATATCACTTATCAGATACTCATTTCTGGCTGGGGTCGGGAATCAGGCGAAGATATCCCGGATGAATCGAGAGTGGAGTTGGAAGAGAATTTCCGAGCTAAGTATTCCGCTTTATCTGTATTAGATGACAATACTTCCAACTGACTGAAGAGAGGAAGGGCTGAGGTTTTTCTATTGCCCCGTACTCACTTACAGAGTTGCTAATAATCTATAGAATCAAACTTATGAGATACTAAACGTTGATTCATTCTATTAACGAATAGCGACATTGTCTCGTTGAGGACACGCTTACACTCATCACGAGCGGGCACAAAGAGACGTCTGTTATGATCGGAACTGTCGCGTTGGGATAGCTGGAAGAAGTGATTATTTTGGACAAGCAGGAGTGAGCCAAAGAGTATATTGTAGTTTCACTTGTTATTTCCGTGCTGTCACGAAAGTTTCGACGCTGAAGATGGCTCAGTGGTACAGTTCTCAACGGGAATATTAAAAAATATATCAGTCCAAGGGGCGTCACGAAGAAAATCAGGAAATGAATCGCAATCAGTACGTTGGTAATAATACTATGTCCTGTTATAGGCGTTCTCGCCGAAGACGAGCGGAAAGAAGTATCTACAGACACTACTGCGTGGTTGGAGTAGTTAAGAGGACAGAGCTGCAAAGTACATGATTCTGGGGAGGAAGTAAGGAATAGATCACGTAGAGAAGCGTATCCGTCAGAATCACTAGAGAAACGAGCAGTAGTATTTGAGTGAGAGATTGAGCAGTTGATTTCAAAGTCTGGATGTCAGCGAGATCAGTGGTATTAGAGTGATGAAGCTACTTGACATGATCTATTTTTAAATTACCAAAACACAAAGACATTTACAGACGAGTGTAGAGAAAGTGCTTTATCTATAGTATCAGAAATCCTATCTTGAAAGCAAACGTCCTGAGAAAGCGAAACGATACTAGTCGGGGGTACGAAATAAGGAAAATCCAGTCGACACAAGTGACATTTCCTTTGCCAGTTGAGGATGTTCATTAACATAGACAGAAAGGCCATGAATGTGGAGACAAGAGTGCTTTTGAAAGACCGTCCTGTGTATGACGATAAACTACATCCAGGGTAAGATGATAAACTACGTCCAACAGCAAGGTCTCTGATCAGGAGGTTTTGAGGAACGTGGAACCACCTCTTAATTGCTGGTGTTCCCAGGTCCACCTTGACCCTGGGGTGGTAGCATCTGTTAGGGTCCCAGCTATAGGCAAATAGTTAACCACCAAACTGAGGTAAAAAGAATTATGAAAGTGTAAAATTAGGTTTTAATATCAGAAAAACTTTGTAAAAATTTATTACCAGAAATAAATTTTTGAAGTAAAAAAACCTATTACCAGCAATACATTTTTTTTTAAATAATATTACCAGCTATACATTTTTTAGGAAAAAATATTACCAGAAATAGATTTTTGACAAAAACAAATATTACCAGGAAAAAATAGTTGTCGGCATTAAATGACCCATTTGAGGTTGATATGCCGTAAAACAAAACAAACCAAACCAAACCTTTCTCTCCTCTCTATCTCTCTCTCTCTCTTTCTTACACACAAAGTGAGAGAAATCCTGTTTGTGAGAGAGAGCGCGAGAGAGAGAGAGAGAGAGAGAGAGAGCGAGAGAGAGAGAGAGAGCGAGGGAGAGGTGTATTTCTCTATTAATATGGCATTATGTCTATCCGTTCTTTTTATTCTCCATTTTTCCCCTATTAACTTTCAATCAGTTTCTTTTCTTCTCTCAAAATATTACCAGAAATAGATTTTTGACAAAACAAAATATTACCAGGAAAAAAAAAAGTTCTCGGTATTAAATGACCCATTTGAGGTTGATATGCCGTAAAACCAACCAAACCAAACGAAACCTTTTGAAAGAGTGTAAGATAACCAGGAACAGAGAATTCAATATTAGAGATTGAGAGGTTTAGATTAGTTTCATAGAGAATTAGGATGTCTGGAGAATATTCCAAGAGAATCGATTCTCTTGGAATCGATTCTGCACTGCAGAAATTGGTATGAATACCACGAATTTTGAAGAAAGAAAAGGTTTAGGGACTTACGTATTTTTGCAAATTGGTTTGGTTATACTATTTACATTATTCGGACTATTGTCCTCATCTTTCTGGCCATATTTATCACAATGTTTCGGCCGTTGTACGCTCCGGCCTTCTTCAGGTGGTTGGAATGTCGAACTGAACCGTTTATTTCGCTCGCTGGGGTAGACTTTTCTAGTTCCAAGTGTCATGTCTAATGGATGTCAGTTACTAGTTATCTCCTGTTAATACACCTCTCCAAGTTCTCCACAGCCTTAACCAGACATGGCAAGTGGAACGAGAACAGTCTACCCCAGCAAGCGAAATAAAGGGTTTAGTTCGGCATTCCAACCACCTGAAGAAGGCTGGAGCGTACAACGGCTGAGACGTTGTGACAAATATGGCAACAAAGATGAGGACAATAGTCCTAATAATGTAAATAGTGTACATAATACCTCATCTTAGAAATATAGACAGATACTAGTTTAGTTATATTTTGTTAAATCGTTTTGGCCATGATATAGTTTTAAGGTGGAAGATGCTAAGAATAATTGTAGCTGCCGATCGGCAGAGCCAACACAAACTGACTGAAAATTGGCGCAGACTACAGTATAGAGTGGCCTCAAGGTTGCCCACCGGAAGTACTCGCAGGGACATCTATCCATACGTAACATGACACTGCAAGAACCCCGACTGTTGATCAGGGCAGCCTCTCTAAGCGCTACCTAAGAGTTTGGGCTACTAGCAGTCGGGATGCATCAATCAGATGCATCAATCAGAAAACTACCAACCCTATACATTCAGTAGGAATAGTCGCCAAAAGGCCATGAGAGCCACACTTAGAAGAACGAAGTGGAAATCTCATCCTAAACAGGAAAAAGGGATAACCATCTACTCCTGTTCAGGGTAGGAGCATGGACTGGGCGATAGTAGAACTATCTACTCCTATTGTGAAAGAAAAAATAAATAGAAAAATAGATGAATAAAATAAATGAATAGATTTGTAAATCGTCACATAGGCAGAAATGTTAGAGGTATACAGTTAATCTAATGATCGATTAAAATGTATATGTGATACTATTTGTCGTTGCCGCGGTAAAACGGAAGAAAGTTTTGTTAAAGCATAAAAAGTGTTATGTACTGAGATACATTGAAATGAGAAGGGTTAATACCAAAAACCCATGGGAAGAATTGAGGATTTAATTCACATATAAACGACTTGAATTGTATGTCGAGCAGTTTGAACAATGGAAGAGTGACCCAGACTTAAGGGACAATACTGATTGACACACAATTGTAAACGTGAGCTGGGAAACGAAAAACTAAATTTTGTAAACTTAATTTGGAACTTAGTTTTCCTGGACGGAAAATGGTCGAAGTAGCAAGCACAGACATGACATCAAGAAGGATAGAGGAACCACCCACGCTCACTGAAGAGATAGGTGAGAGGGGATAATAAAAGAGAAGATAGAGAGAGGGATTTCCCCAAAGTTATGACGTAAGCCAGAAGGGATTCACTGAAATGCTCCAACCTCGCCATAACCCCATACCAGTTTGGGCGAATGTCTATAAATACGAATGCGCGAAGCGAACTCAGTAGAAGAGAGAAGAGAAGCAGAAGAGACCGAGACGAGTCGCAGACGAGACGGAGACAAAGAGTTCGTCCCAGCCACCGATCATGATACACCCCACGTGATTTCCTGCCATGAGACTCCCCCTAAGTTCAGCCTTGTGCCAGACCTTACCAACAACAGCAAACCAATTTTTACCAACTCAACAACAATATTACTTCCGATTTAGATGCGGTTTGAACTGATAATTAATTTCATACGAACGCTGATATAAACCAATTATTGTACGGAGACTGATATAAAAACTGTATTTAATTTTGTTCATTTTATTAGAGTGTTACTTTTTTTCCTGTACGTCATCGCCCTGCTTGGACCAACCCAACACGAAGATACTTGCGACAATTCGATCTTGGCTGCCTTATGATCAACCTTAAATTAAAACGTGGGATATGGTTAGCTCACGATTGAAGCTGTCACTTCACCAACCAGCCGCGGTGTTGGAAGTCTTGGACGAGCGAAGAGGTTGTTGCACGATTACATATATACTCACGTTGGAATAGTTAGCTATAATCAATTAATTTGACAGTTAAGCTTTATCTTTATAAGTTGCGTTGCCTCATAATAAAAACAATTTATACAAATATAGTTCTACAAATAAATATAGTTCTACATGATAATTGTTTATCAGTTAAGACTACTCTTGGATAGGCATGTAAGAATTAGCTCAGAAAACCTCAAACGAAAAAATTCAGCAAGGCTTGCCCGTTGGAGAGTTAAGAACTCATGGAATATGTTCACAAAGAAGCTATTCAGTTCTTAAACTATGTAGATTTTGATAGGCTCTCTTGTTGTTCGTACGAAGACAATTTACCTTCTTTCCATTTACATCACCGCCATTTCTTTACCCAGAAGAAAAAATAAAGTTCTGAGTGAGACCGGTGTAGGAGTAGATTCGAATACATTCGAATACTTTTCTAACACTTCCGGATGATGGAACTAACTTCCGCTTACTTGCTTCCATGAAAACTACAATCTTCAAGAATTTAAATGCAACGTCAACCACCATCTTCAGTTGTCTTTCGTTTATTATTTTCTCAATCCCCCGGATGCACAGTCTTTGCTGTCACTTTAATTCTCTGTAACCCCGTACTAGTGGCATTCTGCATTGCTTCACGGAAAATGATTAATATATATATATATATATATATATATATATATATATATATATATATATATATATATATATATGATACAATATTTTTTTTTACAAATTGTATTATTTTTTTTTTTCACACCGCCCAATGTAGATGTAAAAAAAAAAAAAAAATATATATATATATATATATATATATACACACACATATATATATATACATATATATATATATATATATATATATATATATATATAATACAATATTTTTATTTACAAATTGTATTATTTGTTTTTTATTTTCACACCGCCCGATGTAGATGTAAAAAATAATATATATATGTATATGTGTATGTGTGTGTGTGTGTGTGTGCGCACGCGTGGGCATATGTAATATTTTTTACAGAGCCAAACAATATATAACATATTGATCCTAGACAGAAGTGCCTGGTAGGGACATTTTGAATGGCCGTCCTGAATTTGCTGAATATTTTGGGACAAACGAAAGAGATTAAAATAAAATTCTAATATGAAATCGTTCAAGCCGAAAACTTTTCAGCACCTTTACCTTTATTATCTCATAACTTATTTTTATTCAGTAGTTTTTTTTTCTAAAAATATTGAATTGTAACCTGAAAATGCATCCTAAATGAATATTTTTTTAAATAGATTTTTAATAAAGGATTTCTTTTATTTAATAATTTAATGCCTTTAATTCTGGATGTTATGAATTTGATTTAAAATCTTAAAACCATATTTATTCCATTTGTCATTTATCTTTCGCGACAGAAATTATTTTACCACGTCGTCACACAGCTGGCTTTCACTGGAATCTCTTTTTTATCGTGCCTCTATTAACTCCGACTCGTCAGCAGTATTAATGAATTCCTATCTGTCTCTCTGATCTCCGGGATTTTCTTGAAGTACGTTCAACGTTAGGATGGATTTTATTTTGGTTTGGTCTTAGAGTCAATAATCCTATAAAATCATTTCAATCCACTTTAGCTCTCGGAAGGTTGAGTTAAATGAAAAATTATATGTAAAATAAGTTATGTCAATTGATATTTGGATTATATTTACTGACATTATCAGTCTAAGAAAATATTCAGAATAACGTGTCAGTTTTATCTTAAGTTACAACTGGACAAGTTTATGTCCTTTCTTTGCTTAACTCTATGAATAGAATCAGTCGCACGCTCATGCCATCTCTTTAGTAGCTCTTGATCCTGTTTGATGCGGTTTGGCGACAAGAATGTAAATCATTGATTCATACGGGGTAGGGGAGCACTTCAGCGTGTTTTAATGGTTAACAAGCTTGTCTTGCTAAATCAATTACTACTGAGTAGCGAGTTCGATTCTTACTAGGTGCTCCATACCGTTGACCTTGTGCCACATCTAAGCTACGCTTACGGAATCCTTTAAGGCATTTTGACGTGGTGTAATGGTTAAAAAGCTTGTTTCGCTAGATCAATTATGACTGAATAGTGAGTTCAATCCTCACCGGTTACTCTTTGCTCTCGGCTTTGTCCCACAGCTAAATTATTTTTAGTAAATTAAACACTTCGATATGGTGTAATCGTTAGCCAGCTTGTCTCTCTAGAACAATTACGACTGACTAGTGAGTTCGAGCCGAGTACCTGTTGTAGAGTAGTTTTCACAGTGGAGGCTTGTATTTCACTAAGTCTGTCCTAAAAGAGTCCGACGTACAAAACGTTAGGAACTTGAAATAAGAGTTAATGACGCAGCAATCTAGTTGTGATGGTTGACATCGACTGACTCACTCAACACCACTGAGCCCATCCGTCGACAGCTACTACTATATCTACTACTACTTATTATGTGTGGGAGAGTATTAATAATAGAATAGGTACGTCAGGTATAACAGTACCCCATACATTTAG